GGAGGTTTTGGGGGGCCAATAATTGATGTCATGCAGACAGGTCAGGGTTCCATTCACTGCTGCCCTGGTCTGGCTGTGCTGGAAGCCCCCTAACCTTTCATGACCTGGGACCTGAGTTCCTTCCCATGTCTAGACCAGACTGTAGGGAGGACATGAACTCAGACCCTTGCTCTCACCCGCTGACATGGCCCCCCCTCCCTTAGCTCAAGGAGTTAAGTCCTTCCTATCCACCCTCAGTAGGGGAGATCCTGCCTATCCACCCTCTGAAATGGTCAGTCAGAGATACATTTTGATGGTCATTAAGGGGGAGTCTGTACCAGCAGTTACACAACCTCGTTTCTGTGGGACTTGGGTACAGGTGGCAGCAGAGCCCTAGCAAGAGAAAGAAAATTGGTGGGACAATCAGCATGCTTGAGACAGAATCCCAGGGCCCTTCCACCTTGCCCCAGTTCAGGGGAAGCAGTACCCCACTTGCTGATGGTAACAGAGAGTAGGTGGGGCAGCGGAGCCAACCCCAACTCTCCTATAGGTGACCCCTTTCCAACAGGTCAGGATCCTCATCCTGTGTTCAGGCAGCCTAGCTCCCCCACTCAGCTCCCTCCCTCCTCCATCTCCCAGGGGCTGAGGCCTTGGTGGAGGATCCAAGAGGTTACAGTAAGAAGCCAAGCAGACAGGTGCCAGCTCCCACAGGATTCAGTCTGGTGGAAAGACCAACCCTAAAGAAGAACTGACAACTGAGTTATGTGGCCTTGGGGTCAAAGAGAGGAAGCTATGGAGGTGCCCCCGAAGGGGGAACCAACTCCAGGCAGACTTTCTGGAGGAAGAAGTTAGAGGGTCAGACCTGGAGAAGGAAGAGTTGATTCGATTGAGAATAGTGAAGAGGGCAGGAGCAATGGGGGCTGCTGCTTAGGTGCTGAAGAACCTTTCAGATATGAGGGATTCACAGCTGCTGGGGGGCAGGGCATTGGCAGGGAGGAGATAGGCCTCAAAGGGCCTTATGGTCATGTTAAAGAGTGTGGGCTTTAACTTTGGGGCAGGAGGTAGCTGAGGATGTTTCTCAAGAGTCCAAAAAAAGGAATATTAAAGATATAGAGTTTGAATCCTGGCTCTGTCACTTACTAGCTATGTAATAATAATTAATAATGACAGCAGTTCACAATGGTTGTGTGCTAAAAGTGAGAGGTAGGATATCTACCCCAACTTTCCTACCCCACATACAATTCTCCCTTTCTCAAACATTCCCTACACAAGGGAGTTATCTTACTGTCTTCCCAGCAGCCCTCTAAGGTAGTGGTAACAGTTGTTATTATTAGCCTCATTTTTAGGGGTATCTGAAGTCCAAAGCTTAAGAAGTGTCTTGCACGAAGTCACAGAGGCAGTTAGCCTCAGGTTTCTCAGCTGTGAAATGGGGTTAGTAGAATTGATACTAGTAAATTAATAGTATTGTTGCCAGAATTAGATGGTATCTGTAAAGCACAGTATCTGGCATATGGAAAGCACTGAAGAAAAAAAAAAAAGGTTTTTGGCATTACCAGGTGACTGAAATTTTCAGAACAGAGTGTTGTTACTAGATAAAGAATGAACAGTTGGGCCGGGTGTGGTGGTGCACACCAGTAATCCCAGCTACTTGGGAAGCTGAGGCAGAAAGAGCGCAAATTCAAGGCCAGCCTCAGCAACTTAATGAGACCCTTTCTCTAAATAAAATACAAACTAGGGCTGGGGATGGGGCTCAATGGTTGGGGAGTGTCCCTGAGTTCAATCCCTGGTACCAAAAAAAAAAAAAAAAGAGAGAAGATATGCAGCCAGAGCAGAAAGTGGAAAACCAGGAGTTTATTACCTCTTGAAATTCAAGGGGACAAAGGGTTTAAAGAAGAGAAAAGGACCCACCAAGTCAAAAGCTTTAGCTGAGATCAAGCAGAATAAGGACTAAACATTAGACACTGGATTGATTCAACAAAAGGGAAGTCACTGGTAACCTTGTCTGGACCAGTCAGGGAAGGGTGGAGAACACGGACCAGGGTGAGAAAAGTAGTAAGCAAGTGTGGTGGACTGCTTCTCCAGAAATTCTGCTTAGAAAGGAGAGGAGAGATGGGGTGAAGAATGGGGTAGCTGGAAGGAGACACAAGGTCCACAGGAGGTTATTTCGTTTTGTAGTTACTTATTTACCTGTGAGTGTGTACAGGCGCTGCTGGAGATCAAACCCAAGACCTTCAGTATGCAAGCACATACTTTACCACTGAGCTATTCCCCCAGCCCTTATATTATTCATATAAATCCAACTTTATTATTAAATCCAAATATATATATATATATATATATATATATATATATATATATATACACATACATACATACATACATACAGTAAGTAGTCAGGTATGGTGGCATGTTCCCTTTAGTCCCAGCTTACTCAGGAGGCTAAGGCAGAAATATCATTTGAGCTCAGGAATTCAACCACGGGAAACATAGTGAAACCTTGTTTTTTTGTTGTTGTTTTTTTTTAATATTCACATAGACACACACACAGAGGGAAGGGAGAGAGAAAGTATATATGTCCTAAGTGTACAGTTGATACATTTTTTTGCAAAGAAATATGCCCACATAGAATCAGGAAATAGAACCCAGAGCAGGAAATGGAACATTGCCGATACCTTGGAAGACCCCTTGTGCCACCTTCCAGACACAGCAATCCAAGGGTAACTACAATCTGATGTCTGTCAATATAGATTACTTTTGCCTGTTTTTGAACCTCATTATCAAGGGGATCATACATAAGATCTCTCTGTGCCTTTTCCCCCCACTCACTGTAAGATTCACCCATATTGCTGCATGAAATGGTATATTTTCATTTTTTTGGTATATAGTAATTCTTGTTGTTTATTTATGGACACTTGGATAGTTTCCAGGGTTGTTTTCACTTCATGTGGGAGTGACTTGAGCTTGGAGACATGTGGAGAAAATCTGAAACACTCATTTCTATGAGAAGGGAGAAAGAGACTTGGGTCATACAGTAGGATTTACCAGGTGGGAAATAAGGACTGACTGAGATTGAGAATTGCTCTGTGGTTTGAGCCAGCCTGCTTTGCCAAGACCTTTGGCAGCTCCCTCCAGGCTGTGTGCTGGTGCAGCAAAGACAGGGAGTTGGGTTGCCAGGGTTAGTTTCTGCGAGGTAGGATAGAGGCACAGAGTGCTGAGGATAGTAGCAGCAGGCAAGTGATGGAAGGATGGCAGTAGATGCAGGCTGGGAGGAGGGTATGCAATGAAGATAGAGAAGGTAGGAGGGAGCTGGCAGAGAGAAAGAAAGCAGAGGCGGACTTCGAGCTTCATGCAGGGTGGTGTCTGTGAAATTCTAGGCTGTATCTCCAGTGACTGGCACATACTTGGCTCAAGTATGTCACTTAGTGAATATCCGAATAAATGAGCTAAGGGCTCAAGGGACCAGAGGTCTCAGGTAAAAAGCAGGTGAAATGAGAGTGATGGAGAGAGCTTGGAGGCTGTGGACATGTGGATGTGGTTTAGGAAAGGGGCATTCAAGAGCAGATGATAAGGCTGGGGTGTTCCCAAGGAGATGGCCGAAAGGAGCAGAATGGTCAATGTTGGCTGGGTGGACAATCTGTGGGAATGCATAGATCACCAGTAGGTGCATGGTACCCAGTCTCCAAGGTAGTAGAAGAGGATGGCATTTCCTGAACTGGGGTCCTTGGACCTCTTATAGCTGAATCTGTAAGGGGATTGATGGATTTATTGCATATTCAGACTCCTGAACCCAACCTGGGCTGGGTGAGAAAGTAAACACATTGTGGCAGAATGGGGCCTAAGAAGCAGGAGTGTTTATGGAGTAGGAAGCATCCAGCCCCTCCATGGTCAGAGGATGGGGTATCCAATGGACCCTTGACATGGTGATCTCTATCCATACTGGAGGTGGACAAAGATAGTCAAGAAAGAGATATTGGGAGCAAGCACCAAGGGAATTCAGAGCCTAAGGGGCCCATGAGCTGGGGACCAGAAGGCCAGGGCCTCAGCCCTAGGATGCAGCTCTGGCTAGAGACAAGACCCTGGATGGGGGAGTAGGACCTGATCCTCTTTCTTGGGCTTAAGAGGAGTGCCCAGACTGAGCACCCATCTTATGGGTACAGAGTGGTAGTGGTGCAGGGGGCTGTGGGATTCTTGCACCCAGTTCCTTTTCCACCTCCTTCTTGGGAAAGTAACATATAATATGGGGTTAATCTAGTCCCACACTTTCAGCCCCTCTCTCTACTCAGCTTTCCAGATCTCTCATATTCAGCACTTTACTCTTCACCCTCCGTTGGCAGTCTCTCCGGTCAGAATCCCCCACGCCCAACTCTCTACATTTCACACACTTAGAACCCCCCTTTCAGCCCTCTGTATGTTGACTTTACTCCACAGCCCTCAACAGCCACTCTTAGAGCTACCTACTTTTTTTTTTTTTTTTTTTTTTTGGTGCTAGCTGTGGGGTACCAGGAATTAAACTCAGGGGCGCTTAACCACTGAGCCACATCCCCAGCCTTTTTTATTTTTTATTTTGAGACAGGGTCTTCCTAAATTGTTGAGGCTGGCCTTGAATGCTCGATCCTCCTGCCTCAGCTTCCCGAACCACTGGGATTGCGAGGAGAGCGCCACCACGCCCAGCTAGAGCTACCTAGTCTTAACTGTCCCCAGCGGTCTCCTCATTCTATCCATCCTCATGCTCAACTCCCTTCACACGCACTCCTGACCCCAAGCCTCGTCAGTCCTCTCCCCCAGGTCACCACTCCCAGAGACCAGGCGGGCCGAGGCCTGGTGCCCCCCTAGTTCGGCCGGTCCCGCCCCATCCCGGCGGGTTGAGTCAGGCGGCAGGAACTGGGCGGGGGGAGGCGACGAGAGGAGCCAAGCCAGAGCGGCGGGGAGCGAGCGCGGAGCCCAGTGGGGCCCGCACCTAGTGGCCCTGGCGGTCAGGGACGCGGGGAAGGAGCGCGGGACGGGGACTGTCTAATACTTACCATGAGCGCCAAGAAGAAAGGTAGGACCCAGCCTGGGGCTGCGAAGTCTCGGGGTTGGCCACGTTGGATGCAGGCCAGATTCTGGGGGCCAGGGGTTGCGTGTTTCGCCGGAGCGGGTGGGATTTGCCAAGGATCCTTCCTTGCCAAAGGCAAGGGTGAAGGGGTGCGTCCGTGACTCAGTTTCCAGGTTTCAGCCACCACAGGAAAGTGAAGGAGGCGGGGCACTTCTCAGAACTGCCCCCCACTCTGGGAAACCCCCGGCACCCAGCCCCGAGGCCCTGGCGTCGCAGCGCCTGGGAGCGGGTGGGAGCTAGGGGAGCAGTTTACTCTGGACGGAGGAGTCGCAGCAGCCAGGCCCGCGCCGGCCGGGCCTGTCCGGTAGCTCCACAGGGCTCTCCCTGCCCCGCCCCGTAACCTCCCTTGGCCTCTCGCGGTGGGGGCACTAGCTCTCGGGTCCACTTCGGGGGGCGATCAGGGGCAGGGCTGGAGAGGCCGCCCCGCCCTCGGGTAAACAGGCGCTTCCGCACATTCTTTGCGCGCTCCGCCCCTTTCCTGCCCCTTCCCAGCCGGAGGAGGGTCCCTGCGCGACCCCACCTTCCTGCCCCGGGGCAGGCGGAGTCCGCACCATGGCAGGAAGTGGGGGCCGAGCCGAGGCCACGCTGAGTCCGAGGCTGAGTCGCCCGCAGCTGCCCTGTCATTAGAGCGGGGACCGGCGGGCTAAGAAGACCAAGGCAGGAGCCCCCTGGGGCTGTACCTGGTGACTGGAAGGACCTCCTCCAGCCTTGGGACTCGGCCGCAGGGTGGGGGCTTCAGGGACTCTACTGGTGCTGGACACCCCACCCCCGCCATCCCTAGGGAGCCCCGCGAGGACTCATTCCATGATGTCCCTGTCGGTGCGGCCGCAGCGCCGCCTGCTCAGTGCCCGGGTCAATAGGAGCCAGTCCTTCGCAGGCGTCCTCGGCAGCCACGAGCGCGGGCCCAGGTACGCAGTGGAGGGGAATTAATGGTTGGGTCAAGAGAATCGATGGGATTGGGACTGGGTATGTAGTGAGGGTTTGGGGGACTCCTGCTTGTCCTTTTCTTAAGGCAGCCTCTTCTTCAGGAACTTCCAAGTCTTCAACCCTCCGGGGCCTCCACGAAAGCCCCCAACGCTCTCCCGGGTGTCCAGGATGTTTTCTGTTGCTCACCCAGCCCCTAAGGTGCCGCAGCCAGAGCGGCTGGACCTGGTGTATGCTGCCCTTAAGCAGGGCCTGACGTAAGCAACTCCCTTCCCACCTTTTGTCCTAGGATTCCTCCCCAAGTCCCTAACTCTTTGTGTTAGTAAGACATTTCCCCAGTTCGGCACCCTCTCCTACTGTCAGTACCTTAGGCAGCTAGAGACTGGAGAAGTGAGTTGACTCTTGTCACCTCTTTCTCTAGAGCCTACTTGGAAGTGCACCAGCAAGAGCAGGAGAAACTCCAGGGGCAGATAAAGGAGTCCAAGAGGAACTCCCGTCTGGTGAGTGATGGTAGGGATGCTCTGGACTAATGCCCTTTGCCTTTGCCATTGTGAGGGCTGGGCAGGGCCAGCCTGTGTGACAGCTGGGCTATTTTCTGCGGTAACTATGTCCAGGTATGAGTTGAAGGGAGTATTAGGACAGGCCGAGGGCATTTTTCCAAACTTCTTTGCTGTGCACACTTTCTACTTGAGAGCAGTGCTGCTCATAGAAGCTCTCAGTGGGAGAAGTTGGATCCCCACAGACAGGACAAGAGGAGAATATGTTGTAATAGTAGTAAGGGGAGGGCCAGGGTTTTTTCCTGGGGAAAAAGGAAAAGCTTGCAGAGGAGGGAATGCTTCTGCTGGGTCTTGAAGGATAGGTCTGGGTGGGCAAGTGCCCCTGGTGTAGTCCTCGTTATACCTCCTAAATACCTCTTCTTGTTTTTCTCTGTAGGGCTTTCTATATGACTTGGACAAGGTGAGTGAATATAGAATAGTGTTGGAAGGGGTTGGCTCATGGAGAGGGGAAGGGGCCTTGGGCCTATGGGCCCTCCTGACCCACCTTTCCCCCAGCAAGTCAAGTCCATTGAACGCTTCCTGAGACGATTGGAGTTCCATGCCAGCAAGGTACTTGTGCAGCATGAGTGCAGAATGGGTTTTGGGAGTGGGTTTGGGGCAGCATAGGGAAATTGGGGGCAGGGTGCAAGTCTCTGAGTGAGCAACCCCAGTAATGATTCTCAGTTCCCCCCTCACTTTCCCAGATCGATGAGCTCTATGAAGCATACTGTGTCCAGCGGCGTCTCCGGGATGGTGCCTACAACATGGTCCGTGCCTATAGCACTGGATCTCCAGGGAGCCGAGAGGCCCGGGACAGCCTAGCTGAGGCCACCCGGGGACATCGAGAGTATACAGAGGTGAGAGAGGAGTCACTGAAGTAGGCATGGGGTGTGGCAGAGCTGGTGAGAGGGATTGATTCTTCATTCCCTCCTGTCCCTACCCCTTCCTCCCAGAGCATGTGTATGCTGGAGAGCGAGCTGGAGGCACAGCTGGGCGAGTTTCATCTCCGGATGAAAGGTACTAAATTGTGGGGGCAGATGGGAATCAGGAGGGAGTATGCTCAACATGGCACATCTAATTCTCCCTTTACTCCCAGGGCTGGCCGGCTTTGCCAGGCTGTGTGTAGGCGATCAGTATGAGGTATGAGGATGCCCAGGGGAGGCGGGGGGATGGAGGTCATGGCTCTTGCATCTCTGCAACTCCAAGGGTTGCTTCATCCTGCCTATTTCTTCAGATCTGCATGAAATATGGCCGTCAGCGTTGGAAACTACGGGGCCGCATTGAGGGTAGTGGAAAGCAGGTGTGGGACAGTGAAGAAACCGTCTTTCTTCCTCTGCTCACAGAATTCCTGTCCATCAAGGTGACTTCTCTACCAGTATCTAGGACACTGTGGTTCTGTAAACTTCATGACCTTGTGAACCCCTTTGTAATCTTCCTGAGACCCTTACCCTTGTGATGTCCTCATGGCTCCATGGCTCTGTGAATGTATGACCCCTCAACTTTCATGACCCTGTGATGATCTCTGTGTCATTGAGAACAATCTTCGTGATTTCTATCTTCGTGGTCTCCTTGATCCTATAACTGCCTCATGATCTTCTGACTCTGAATATTGATCCCCTGAGCCCCCTTGAGATTATGACTCGCATGATCTCAATGACCCTACCAACTCAGATCTTTATTATCTCCATGTTACCAGACTGCTTCAAGCCTCCATGGCTCTATGACCCTGAGAATTCCAATCCTCATGGCCCCATGACCCTGTGACCATCTACACATATGCAGATCTCTGATTACCAGGAACTCATGGCCCCTGCATCCCTGTGATCCCACTGTACATTCTTGGCTACAGGTGACAGAACTGAAGGGCCTGGCCAACCATGTAATTGTGGGCAGTGTCTCCTGTGAAACCAAGGATCTGTTTGCTGCCCTGCCCCAGGTTGTAGCTGTGGACATCAATGACCTTGGCACCATCAAACTCAGCCTAGAAGTCACATGGAGGTTGGTGGAGCTAAAGGTCTTAGGGGCAGGACCAGAAGGGTTGTGGCACTGCTAACGGCCTCTTCCTCCTCAGCCCCTTCGACAAGGATGACCAGCCCTCTGCTGCTTCTACTGTCAACAAAGCTTCCACTGTCACCAAGCGCTTCTCCACCTATAGCCAGAGCCCACCAGACACACCCTCACTTCGGGAGCAGGCCTTCTATGTGAGTCACAGTCCAGACTTAGGCCTCTTCATTTCCCAGAGGCTTTTCTGGGATGGTTCTGAAATGTTCTTCCTTCTCTCTTAGAATATGCTAAGGCGGCAGGAGGAACTGGAGAATGGAACAGCATGGTCCCTGTCATCTGAATCTTCAGATGACTCATCTAGCCCACAGCTCTCAGGCACTGCTCGCCACTCATCAGCCCCCAGGCCCCTGATGCAGCAGCCTGAACCTCTGCCCATCCAAGTTGCCTTCCGAAGGCCTGAGACCCTCAGCTCTGGGCCTATGGATGAGGTGGGGGCCATGGCCCCAGTTTTAGCCAATGGGCATGCCCCCTATAGCCGGACTCTGAGCCACATCAGTGAGGCCAGTGTGGACGCTGCCTTAGCTGAGGCTTCAGTGGAGGCTGGGGGTTCAGAAAGCCTAACCCTAGGGCCTAGCTCACCCATACACCCAGATCCCACCCAGGAGTGCCCCAATTGTGTTCCTTCTGTCCCAGACACTGGCCATTCTGCCACAAGCCCCACTTTTAGTACTACCAGCCCCGTGTCCACATCTATAGACCCTGTCCCATCTGAACATCGAGATTCAGTTCATAAGGCCACAGATTCTAGCCCTTCTAAGCTGCCAAGCCCCACCCATACCACTATAAACTCCACGTGTAGTGCCATAAGCCCTATCAATAGTGCTCCAAGCTTCATGTCCACTACTATAGGTTCTACCACCAAGCCATTGCTCTCTACCCTCACCACTACTGGCTGTATCCCCACTACTACAGGCCCAACCCAGACCATGGCAGGGTGGAACCACACTACTCCAAGTCCCATCCATACCACTACGAGCTCTACCCATACTACCACAAGTCCTATCCATACCACTGCAGGCCCCACCCATACCACTGCAAGCCCCACAAACGAAGCCAGAATGTCAACTCACACCACTACAAGTCCTACCTGCAATGCTATGGGCCCAGTAGTCCAAACCACACACTCCACCTTTACAACTGTAAACTCTTCCACTTCTGGGGACATTGCTATACTTCCCACCCTCTCTACAGATGTCACCCTCTCAGGAACTAACCCCTGTAGCTACTCAGCCTCCACTCCCTGTATTCAGGCAAAACCCATAGCCTCCAGCACTTACTACCCAAGTCCTGTCTCTTCTGGTTGGAAACCTCTCATAAGCCCTGCCCCAGATCCCCCAGAGCCCATCCTTCAGAACCTAAGCTCCCCTCCCTCACCCTTAGCTCCTATACCCCAGCATTCAGAACTTAGCCCAGTCACAGCTACTCAAGCCTCAGTCCCAGGGGCAATTGAAGGGACTGGGGACAGGAGACTGGAGGAAGCCCTGGGGGCTGTAATGGCTACTCTGGATGACTATCGTGGCCAGTTTCCAGAGCTGCAGGGCTTGGAGCAGGAGGTGACTCGGCTGGAGAGTCTGCTTTTGGTAAGGAGGGCTGGGCTAGCTGGGCTGGGGCAGCACAGGGAGGGCAGCCAGGTAGTAGCAGCAGCTCTGACCTGCTTTACTACCCTAGCAGAGACAAGGCCTGACTCGTAGCCGAGCCTCCAGTCTCAGCATCACTGTGGAGCATGCCTTGGAGAGCTTCAGCTTCCTCAATGAAGATGAAGATGAAGACAATGATGGTCCTGGGGACAGGTAAGACTGTGGGGGCTAATGAGAGGAAAGAGATGAAGGGGAAGAGGTAAGGCTATGTCAGGTGGAGGAGCAGATGTGGGAACAAGTGAAGTGGGGCCAGGTAGAGTGCATGAGGATGGATTTGTTGGCAGCTGTGATCACTCCTCCCATGTATATCTCATGTGTGTCCTTGATGCCCATGTCTCCAACCCCATCTATCTCCAGTGCTTCTGGCCATCCAGCTCCTCATCTCTGCAATGAGTCCCTCCCCCATCGGTCCCCATCAGCTTGTGAGCCTCCTGCCCCTCCTCTTTCTGTTGGCTTCACCTTGGATCTACCCTCTGAAGGAGCTCTTTCAGTGCATCCCTACATTCCTTGCATGATCCAGCATCGGTCCTCTCTGTCTCAATCCCAACTCTCCTGGAGGTCCCAATCCCTCAGCTCTCAGTCCTGGAGTGACCCTACCAACTCTGGTTTGAGAGTCATTCCCAGTCCCTCCTCCCT